ACTTGATTAATTTGATCAAATAGGTGGGTTCGTGAATTTCTTGATGATCAGAATCATGGTCTAGATTCGTTGATTGACTATCTTAGCTTTAGATTAGTGATGATGCGCCATGAATATAGGTCTTGTGTTGACGTGACTAATATCTCAACCGAAAAAATCGCTCAAGGTATCTGAATGTTTTAGTTTATATTTTTAATCCATTAGTTTGGGAAATATTTGATTTTAGATTTTGTTTTGTTTACATTTATGTAGGTAATCATATTCACACAAATGGCATTAGTAACGGTAATGTAACGAATCACGCGAGACCTACTTTAGACGTACTAGATAGCCCTGGGATCAAACGGAGATCGCGACACGCTGCAAAGTTAAATATGGGCGATACCAAAGATGATATACACGTTTGCATAATGTGTTTACGGGCTATCATGAACAATAAGGTGAGAACTTAAAAGTCTTATTTAAAAAAATTTGAGTGTAGAACGTTTTAGTGAATTCAATATTAATTAGAATAGGGTTTGAAGCTTGGCTGAGTGCTTATGTAAATATTAATAATGATAAGCAATTATTTGTTAAATTAAAAATGGCGTTTGACCTAAATGTTTGCTTCATATTTTTCCTATATTGATTATACATTTGAACTTTAATCAAACCTAGCACATTTTTTTGCCAGTTTTATGGTATTTTCATTAAGGTCTTGTGTATAGTTTGTATATAAAATATGACCTTTAAAGGTTAATATACATTTTCAACACATGTTTATTTTTCGTGTCATCGTATGTATTACGTATTTAAAATAATATGCAGTATAGAATATCGATAAATCAAAGCTCCAGGGAACATAAAAACAAACCGAAAAACGCATTGTACCGTTGCCAGATATTTTGATCAAATAATGTTGGGGGTGGTGTGGGGGAAAGTTCACAAAATTAATAAATATAGTAAATTGTGCCACTATATAAAACATTAAAATGTTAATGTATTTAGTATTATGCATAGTTAGTTGTCACCGGTGAAAGCCTAAGTCGATTTGATCAAGATATGACCGGTCAAATCTCAAAATGTTGACTCTAAAGTTACATAAATAATCTTATTATTTTAAATTAATTTGTTTTATAATATTTCTGGCTAAGTAGAAAAAAAACAATATTTCGTTTGTTTATGCAACTTTTATAAACATAGTTAAACAATAAAACTGGTTTAAAAATTATTAATTACAAGTAGTATATTTCACTTCACACATTAACTATCCATATAACTCAGAATAATTAAGTTGTTTTATTGATAATTTTAAACTGTTGTTGGAAATATGAACTAAGATAACTTAAGTACAGATTCTAAAAAAATATCGGAATTCAGCTTGTTATAATAGGAATATTATAGCTGGGATTTTAGAGTTTGTATGAGCTTAAAATCAAAATCTTGGTTTCATAATAACATCAATAAATTCTATCTAACGAATAATTATTAATATACAATTTGTGATAACTATATATAGTATGAAGGTGTGAAAGAATGACTTAACAAATGAAATAACTTTTGTTTTAAGCAATAATACAATTTGTTTATATAATTTGTGCAGACGCTTATGTAGTTATGTTACAAGTAAAGTATAAAATTCTTTATTCTTATTATTTAATAATGAAATTAAAAATTAAAAATAGACAATTCGTAAATATATATTTTAGAAAAATGTTGATGGTAAAAACGTTTATTTAAGAATCAACAGTAACTTATTTTTAAAATATTTTTTATTCTTATATTAATATTTGGAGTAAATTGATTCAAAACGTAAACAATTTTTTCAAAATATTATTTTTGTCAATTTTCAAAAAAGTAGATCTTAAATTATTTATCAGCCATATAATTTTCATAATTTTTTTTATAAGTTTAACTAATATCAATTTTTATTTGTAAGGTCGTTCTGTTATACCCTGTATTCCTACTTATTATTGTAATAATTCACAAATACCTCAAGCTCCATTAGATTTGGAATGTGACTAATGTCGCAAATATTCATCTTTCTGTATCATTTTATTATTTTTAAAGTTTATAAATTACAATAAAAAATGTTTATACATTTAAACGATTAAAAAAAATATTGGTATGGTTGTGGGCATTAATATGCACCAACAGCTCTGCTGTAGAGTAGGTTTGAGTTTACTTCATAATTTAATAAGCCACTCAGATGTATATGTGTTAGATTGGAATTCAATGATAAGTCATTGCATTCGAAAAGCGATTCTGAGCGAAGACGATTTTGCTGTTATGTTAATGTATTTACTATTAATATGGTAGGTTAAATTACTTTTTACCGAAAACACATTTGAAAATATCGTTGTTGTATGTATAACATACAATAATATTCTTTAAGTTCTACGTACTCACGAATAATATTTTTAAATTGCAACAAAATAACTAAAATTGTTATAATCAATTTGTTTACATATCAAATTTCGTTAAAATTTCTACTTCAAATGTCTATAAAAAAAAATTGTGCATATAAATTCCGTATGAACTTCTTACGAAAAACCTCGTATATATTTTATTTTTACTTTGCAAAAAGTTTTTTATCAACATTTATAGAAACACAACTAAAAATATAGAAATTTTCAAATGTTCATTGTAGTTCAAAAAGAGCCAAAGTATTTTTAGATTATATCAGGTATAAGAGATGATTGTATTAACATTTAGTCAACATTTCAAAAACTAAGTTTATTTTATTTTTAGTTACACACAAAAAAAAATTTATTTTGTGATTCTGTCGGTTTTGCGTAAAAATTCATGTTTTTACTTAATTTTTTTTTGATTATTTTTAAAAAGTTCTAAGTATTTGCAATTTTGACCTCCTTTAAAGTACCAACTAGATTCAATTTGCTACCAGAGTCCACGATCAATGTTTAATATAGAAGCATATTTTCTATTATAAAACATTAAAACGTGTACACAGACAAAAAAAAAAATAAAAAAAATAGTATCATTGCAAAATCAATACATTCATCGCGCCTCTTAGAATCTAAAACTGTAATGCATAAATCAGTGTTCTGAATGTTCTTCAATGAATTTAAATGACCATGTTTAAAATTGCTGTTTCAGTATGGATTAAATATGGTGATTCAACATACCGATGCAATTAATAGTATAGCATTAAGCTTAATGCACAAAAGTTTAAGGTATATTATTATAATTTTGTATATTTAAAATTAAATGCTAATATGTTTAATGTTTATATACCTATGTATACGTTTCAGGACAAAAGCTTTAGTGCTTGAGCTTCTGGCTGCAATATGTCTAGTGAAGGGTGGTCACGAGATCATTTTATCTGCATTTGACAATTTCAAAGAAGTCTGCCAGGAAAAGAAACGTTTCCAAACTCTTATGGATTATTTTATTAACTATGAAGTTTTTCACATAGAATTTATGGTATGTTCAATAAAAAGTTTTTGAAATACTTTATAATATCAATGTTTTATTTTTTGAATCAAATGTTAAGGTTGCCTGTATGCAATTTATAAACATAATTGTACACTCTGTGGAAGATATGAATTTTCGGGTTCATCTGCAATACGAATTTAGTACTCTCGGGCTTGAAGAATATCTAGTCAAAATCAAGCATACAGAAAGTGAAGAACTTCAGGTTCAAATTTCTGCGTATCTTGATAATGTATTTGATGTAGCAGCATTAATGGAAGATAGTGAAACTAAAACAGCTGCTTTAGAAAAAGTAGAATCTCTAGAGGACGAACTTGCACATGTATGTGAAAAAAATATAAAAATTAGTTTTTACCAACAAACTTGCAATAAGTAGTTTTTTATTTATCCAGGCACATGATAGGTTAGCTGAATTAGAACGTGAATCATTAGCTCAATTGGCTGCATTAGAGAGCTCGCTTGGAATGGCTCGGGCTGAAAGAGATGCAGCAGCAGAGAGCAAACGTACAGTTGAAGAAGAAGTAGCAACACTACGAAGAGTTGTGAACGATCAAAAACGTGAATCACAATCCAGGCAGTTCATGCTTGAAGAAAAAATTCAAGAATTGATTTCACGAGGAGCTCAACCAGATTTAAGTAATAATTTAGACTTTTTTTTTTTTTCTATTGAAACTTTGTTGTACAATTAATTTTGACAGTTATAATAAATTAGAGGAATATATATAATTTACTCTTAAAAATCATTTTTGGTTAAATTTCTAATAATTTTATTTTCAGGCTCTAGCAGTGGCATTTCAAGTTGTTCCTCAACTGGAAGCAATAGTATTTCTGCATCACCGCCGCCACCACCTCCCCCACCACCACCACCTCCTCCTTCAACTGCTTCTTCAATAGCTATGCCACCTCCACCGCCACCACCACCACCACCGATATCGCCAAAACCAACTGGTATACCTATTCCACCACCACCTGCACCACCATTAGCGGGTACAATGCAAGCACCAGATGGTGCTATGACAATAAAGCGTAAAGTTTTAACCAAATACAAGTTACCAACTTTGAATTGGGTTGCAATGAAACCTAATCAAGTACTATTTTTCATTATTTTTACCATTTACAATTTTAGTTATTATTTTATGTATTTATTTTATAAAAATGTAGGTTCGTGGCACTATTTTTAATGAGCTTGATGATGATAAGTTACACTCTGTAATAGACTTTGGTCAGTTTGAAGAAAAATTTAAGCTGACAGCTGCTGGTCGAGCATTGATTAATGGTAATTCTGACCAACACGACGGGTTAATGACATACCCGAGTAAACGAATGAAGAAACAAGATAATATTTCTCTTCTGGAACATACTCGCTTAAGAAATATTGGTAAGTTGAAAAAACCATTAGATTACCAAAATTTCTAATTTTAAATTTTAAAACAGCGATTTCAAGAAGAAAACTTGATATGCCAGTTGAACGTGTCATAATGGCTGTAAATTCATTAGACTTAAAACAAGTACCTTTAGAAAATGTTGAAATTCTTCAACGAATGATTCCCACCGATCAAGAGGTAAACATTTTGGTATTAAATCTTAAGTTTCTTCTTATTTATTTGATCATATATATATCTAACAAGTTTTTCAAATTCTGAATCACTGTTTCCTTTTCCACTGAACACTCCTTTTCTTATTATGGTCCTTAACATTGGATGATGTTTATACACCATATCAATTATCAAACATTTTACTCTTTCTTTGTGTATAATTTCCAACTTAGTACAAATATTTTGATTATAATCATTCATGATATTAGACCAAGCATCATTTTGTTTTTGAATCTCCTTAATCCACTTGGTATTTTTTTTTACATCCAAATAATGTTTTCTGACATAATAGCCTTTAAAATATTTTTGAATAATCGTAGCTGCTTCATTATAATATTCAATGGACTTAAATACAAACATTTTTATTGATATAATATTGAAATACCTAAAATATAATAATGTATCACTAATTTAGTAAACACATACTTGTAATTAGTATACCTTCTAGTAATGTATCCCTTCCAATGTTTTTGAATCATTTTAGCTGCAGCATTTAACTTTGAAAAATACAGTCTTGTGTAATAACCTCTGTAATGTCGTTGAATGGTTATTGCAGCAGACTTATTTCCTTCAATAAATCGAGTCCCATTTCTTTGTTTCAATTGTAATATATTATCTATGTTTTTTTCATTACGAGTTATGTATTCAACAAAAACCATTATTTAAATTTGTAGTTGAAATTCAATTGTCTTGTGATTAAGAAAATATGTTTGTTTTGTTCATATTAACAACTAAAAATAACAGATATTATTTATTAGTTGAAACCACTATTTTTAAATATTAAAATTTACCACATTTTCTTAAAATTAATGCCATAAATATTTTCTAGAAAGACTAAACTAGCCCTTGTATTGTAATCTTTTAAATTTTTATCAAATTTAAAATTCAAGTTAAAAATACTTGCCCGTGTATATTTTTAAATTGTTTTGTGTATAAAAAATTATGATTATACCACTTTATTAATATTTGTATTATAGGTAAAATCTTATAAAGAATATCAGTTGGAGAAAAAAGACATAAACATGTTAACTGAAGAGGATAAATTTTTAATGCAGTTAACTAAAGTTGAAAGACTTGCTACCAAACTATCTATAATGAGTTATATGGGTAACTTTATGGACAACTTACATTTAATATCACCAGTGAGTTTACTTATGATTTCTGACGTGTCCAAACTTATTTATATTCTTTCAATTTTAGCAAGTGCACGCAATTATATCAGCTTCAAGCTCCGTAAAGAATTCCAAGAAACTGCGTCAATTGCTTGAGATAATATTAGCATTTGGCAATTATATGAACAGTGCGAAAAGAGGTCCTGCATATGGATTCAAACTACAATCATTAGATACCTTAGTAGATACCAAGTCAAGTGACAGACGCATTTGCCTTCTACACTTTATTGTTGATACTATTAGGTCTAAAATGCCAGAAATTATGAATTTTGATTCAGAGTTCATGTACATTGATAAAGCAGCAGCTGGTACGGTTAATTTTATATAATAAAATATTATTATGACTACTAAATATACATTTATATTATGTTTAGTATCATTGGAAAATGTTATAACTGATGTTAATGAGTTAGAAAAAAATATGGAAATCGTAAAGAAAGAATGTGAAACACGAGGTTACGGAAATGCTCAACATGTAATGGTTCTTCGAGACTTCCTTAATAATTCTGAAGAAAAACTTAAAAGATTGAAAAATGAGACTAAGACCGCTCAAGAATCTTTTAGGGATTGTGTAGAATATTTTGGTGAATCACGTCGAGGTACAGATGCCAATACTTTCTTTTCCATGCTTGTAAGATTTGTTAAAGCATTCAAGGTAAACAAAGTTTTTGTATATTTTAAAATGATTATAAATGTATATATGAACCTCAATAAACATATTTTATGTTAATTATCACTCAATATTAGTATTTCCATTGCTATATTCAACATTATTTGTAAAATAACATTTTCTAGATACACTCTATCTAGATTCACTACAATTTTAAAAATTAGTCAATAAATAAAATTTTTTAATGATTCCAAGAATTTTTAAGATTTCATTAAATTTGCAGATGACTCATTACCTAAAATTCATATCTACCTTACTGAAGTTCAACTTGACAATATAATTGGCACTTATGTGACATTTAACGGTCATGAACCAATTAAAAAATGTATAATATATTATATTATAAATTATTTAGTTTGCATATTTATTAATAATTTTAAGTATACATTTGTGATAAACATAAAAGTGTTTTAACATATAAAAAAAGTACTTGTAAAGTATTTTGAATATTTATAAAATGTATTTGTATTTATATTCAATTATTCAAATACAAATGATACCATGTATTTAAATACGTATTCTGAATAAATTTGAAAAGTATTCTTAACAAGACTGATAGTTGGATATTATTATTATTATTATTATTATTATTTTTTTTTTTTTATTGATCGGCAACTGAGGCCATTAGCTGTAGTAGGATTTGTATTGTAGGTTTGTTTGTATTATATATTTTGGGACGGTAGGGGGGAACACGTGTGTGTTTGTTTTTGGCAGAATTTCGAATGGGGCACCCGTAGGTTTCTGCCATGCCCGGGGGTGGGGGATGGCAGCACTTGTTCTCCGGTCACCGCGACTTGTCCGGAGAAAAATGCCGCCCAGTAGCCGAGGATCGAACCGCGACCGGCTGCGTCGCAGCGGACGCGTCAGACCACTCGGTCACCTCATCCCCCTATTATTATTTTACAGATAAAAGTATTCTTATTTATTACAATATTAATTCAACTAAAAATTAACTGCTTGTTTATATAAAAAAGTTATTATGAGTATAATATGTACAACGTTTTTCTGTAGGCGGCTGATATTGAAAATGAACAAAGAAAACGATTAGAAGAAGCTGCATGCCAAATTAAATTAAAAGGTAGTACCGAAAACCTAGCTGCCAAAAACAAGACAAATCAAAAATTGCAACAAGTATGTCCAATTTATTGTAAATATACAATTTAGATTGGTTACTGAATTCATTGATTAATTAATTTAAGTTTGTGTAACATAACATTTATCTTGCATGTTTTATTGCAATGTCTTATAATTTTTTTAAATTAAGATTAAATATAATTTTAATATTTTTCTTTTGTTTGCTTTTTATCTCTAAAGGTTTTTGTTTGATGTATGGTTGTGGTAACTGGTATTACAATAGTTGTTATGCATTAAAAAAAGTATTTCATGTTTCATTATTTATTATAGTTTAGAATTACCTAATGTTTGTTTACATTTAGAATTAATGTATGGTGTTTGTATTATGTTTTCTTTTACATCTAATGACAACATACTAGTTATTAATTTAGAAGGCTTAAATCATTAGTATAAGTTCAATAATTTGCTTGGACCTGCACTACATAACATGACTACTGGTGTTGGATCAGAACCATATTCATTTAGGTACCAATCCAATTATATTTAAAAATTTGTGTGTGGGAGGAAAAATGAAGTGTTCTAATATTAATGATTGTATGATTTTGTCTTACCTGAAATTGGATTGGTAAAAATTCCTTAGGAATTTGATTTCTATTTTCAATGTTTTATTTATTAATCATAATATTTTATTGTTCTAAAATCAATTTTATAGTTCTAGATTCACTTCAATCGATAATTTTAATTACCAACATAATAGATTTGTTGATACTTAAAATTATTGTTTAAATTAAAAGTGGTTTAAATTATTTGTATAATTTATTTAGTAAATATATGATATGAGTGATTTAAACCAAAATATATATATGGTTTTTTTTTTATTTCGCTAATTGTTATAACTTACTATTTTTGTTATTATAAACTAGTGCTGACAAATCTAATAATTTACAATCTTTGAACTTTAATTTTTCAATGTTAAAATATAAGTTAACTCTTTTAATAGACATTTCATTTTTCCCTCTTCATTAACTTATTATAAATATTGTTTTTCTCTGTGTTTGGTTCTAAAACTTTTTTTGAATTTAGTGCATAGTCATAACTCATAACTCATAAGTTATATTATTTATTTTTTTTAGGAAGCTGTTATTAATGAATTAAAGAATAAGACAAAAATGGTAAAAGAAAAGAAATTGTTACACCAAGATGAAGTTTACAATGGTGCATTGGAAGATATTCTTTTGGGTTTGAAAAATGAACCTTATAGAAGAGCAGATGCTGTTCGGAGAAGCCAACGACGTCGTATAGACAGCAATCGATTATCCAGGACATTAGAAGAACTTGAATTTTGAAAGTCCTGTTAATATGGTAATGTACCATAAGTTAAAGTTATAATATTGTGTTTTATTTAATTTTATTTAAGTAAAAAGATGTGTTTCTTCTCCCGCTTAAAGTATTGTATTACAGTACTCTAAATAAGTAGTTTTTATATACCATTTTATAAACAGAAAATAAATTTAATTTGTATGCATTTGCATATTGTCATCTATTTACTTTCATTTCAAAACTAACATTCATATTATTGTTAAATTAAAATAAAATATAAATGTTAAGTATACATTTTATTTATTTAAATTGATTCATATTTCAGGAAAAAATAGAAAAAAGCACGTTTAACATTTTTTTTTTGAATATAGTTGTTAATGATAGTCAAACTATCTATTACAAATAATATCAAAGATAATATAAAGTAACACAATTTAATAAATTTCATTTATTTTCTAGATTAATGCATTTGTATCATCTACATTCCACATATCCAAATACTCATGACTATACGTTAAATATTATAATTAAGTGATAAAAAAAAAACACTATTGTTGATGTACTCATATTATTATTTTGTTTGTTTGTTATTTTACATGTTTATTCATTGGAACTTTATTAATATATATATATGAGAATGATAATATTATGTTTTTTAAGACTAGAATATTAGATATAATTTTAATTATACTTTGTCATACATACTGAGTGAGCCACTGAGGTTAAGTGTGTTAACTAAAGGAAAACAAAAAACTCAGTAGCCCACTCTGTGTATTTATATATAAATGATTGTCGTTAATAGTTAATTTAATTTATATTTTTTACCATTAAAATTAGTGTAAATTATTTATTTTTGTAACAGTAGAATCTTCTTTTTCTGTAACTGCTAACTTGTAAATTATTATATCTTAAAATGAAAAAGAAAGACTATTAAAAAATTGTAAGCTACTAGAAGTTACAGCTATTAGTTACAGAACTTTAGAATATTTTTTTTTATAAAAAATATAACATTTCTATGTTTTACTAAATTTTTTGGAAATTCTCATATGCATATATTTTAAATATAATTTTCTGATTTTTCTGATTCTTATTTTTATAATTTGGATGTATTATCTTTATCAAAATTTACTAACAAAGTCGGTAAGTCATATTTTCCAGAAGCAATTTATACATATGTATATGATGATTAACAAATATTTCATTTTTAAATATATATTCAAATATTTTTAGTAAAATATAGTGAATATTGAAAACTTGATTTTATTGAAAAAATATTTTATTATTTATTGTCATACAATTTTTACTTTTATACATATTAACAATACAAATTTTTGAATATTCTTACCTGTTAAATAACGAGCTTAGTAAATAAAAACAAAGATTCTGGTGAAAACAACCATTTATCATTGAGACATTATAAGCAATATTCTATTTGTTGCTACTTATTTTTTATATACATATGATAATTTATTGTCAATTGGATATCATTTTTTTTGGCATTCCATTTGTTTTTAGGATTGTCATGATCAATGACTATCACTTTAGTGATGTGGTGCTTATAGATATTAGCCTTGAAAAAACTATTTTTTTTTTTTATTGTACTTATTTTGTTAAATAGATATATTATGCTTAATCTCAAATGTTATTTTCATTTTCATTATTATTAATGTTACTGTGTTAGGAGTCTCATCTAATGAAAAAAAATTTTCTTTTAGATTTGTTTATATTTCTCATATTATATTATACGTTTCATTAGTGTTAAACATATTTTGTAATATGTGTAAATAAGGACCATATAATTAACTAATGGTTATCATTATAATTATTTTGTACCTAAAAAAAAATGAAAACCTTTTAGATTGGTTAAGTGCCATCAGAATAAATTAATGCAAAATGAATTTTTGTTTATTTCTATTGTTGATTATACACACATAATATAAAAAATAATTCCTAGTAATTATGCTCTTTTTTTCTGAATTAAAAAAAAAATGTGTTTTAAGCTTTATTTATTTATTTTTCTGACTATAATGTGTAAAATAGTTAAGATTGATATTTATAATATTTATATGCATGTTAGGAATGGTGTATTCTACGTTTATTGTTGAATAGCTTACCTTACATATTTTTAGAATAGTTATTTTTATCTTCAAAATATATAATTATTTATTTTATTTGTAACCAAATGCAATTTACTAAATACATGGAATATACAGCTAGACAACGTGCATGCCCTAAAAATGCAATAAAGTTTCATTAAATTTTAGATTCTGAGCGGAGTCATGAATGTATTAGTTTTACAATAATGTATTGATGTGTATTTTTTTACATGTCACCGCCTTATGGCACGGAAAAATAGCTTTTGGTAGAAAAGTGAATCTAGTCAGTACTTTGGTGTTTGGGAGTCTAAAGAAAGTCTGGGTACTTTTGAAAAAACTGGAATTTTCACCAGTTTTTGAGAAAATAGATTTTCTTATTTTGTTGTTATCCAAATACTATAGATTCTCGCCATGTTTACCAAATATGTATTTATTTGAGCATGGTATAATTTTTAAACTAATATTTTGTCTCATTTTGTGATATTTATAAGCATTTGCAATATTCTACTTATTTTATTATAAAAAAAATTTGCTCTCTTAAAAGCTTAGAATATATAATACACTATTACAGTTAAGGTTTCTCATAAGTTGTTATTAAGTGTTAAGCACCAAGTGTGCTGAAATATTTTAAATTATAATAAATAATGATAAAAAATATTTTTCATATTAATACAGTTAAACTAAAAATTAATGATCATAATAATAATTCTCATATTTTTATACCTAGATATTATTTTAATTACAATCTTCAAATTGTTTAATAGTTTAAACTTTAAACCAAAAATTATTTAATATTTTCATCACAAAATATAATCAAGTTCAAATCATGATTTTGAGTTAATCATATAGATAGGTAACAATAATAGGCAGAGCATGTTATTTTAATATAAATTAGCAAGGCTGGGCAAGTTAACAATTTTTTTTTAAATTGTTAATATAAAAAGAAGTTCAGTTAAGTTAAAAGTTAACCATTATATTTTGTATAACTAATTTAAAAATTAGTTGATGAAACACATTAACTTAACTAAACATTTTTAAATTATCAAATTGGTAAGAAAAATATGTACCTACAAAATTGATGATGAATTTGGAAATCATTTCAAGCTCGGGGTTCTGTGCTTAGCAGTGCCGTAATTTGGTCATGTTAGTAGTGGGGGGGGGGGGTCGTACATTTATATAAATATGATAACCATCATACGTCTTAACTTAATTTTTATTTTTAACTCGTTAATGTCCAGCTTTACACTTTAGTAACTGGTTTAGGTAATTTATTTATAACATAATACTGATTATTGGTCTTGTAAAAAAAAAAGCGAGAAAGAGAGTATTGGCACAGTTACAATGGCATCAGTTTTGCTATAAATACAGATGATGGTTCAAGTGAGACTCTGTATAACCGTATAGGATGTGTAAATTTGAGTTCAATGATAATTTTATATCATTGTGTACACAAAACGATTCTCAGCAGAGTCAGGCCGCCAGCCTTGGGTATTTGTAAAATATATTTATTTATATTGCCATTGGTGATTTATTTTACCATTGCCTAATGGCTAGGTCAATTAAATTTATATAAATTTTTTGTTGTTAATTATATCCGAGTTATGGTGTGTGAATTGTGTCAATGCACCATTGTTTCAGTCAATACCGCGTTACCATAGAACGGTTCTAATAGATCCATGGTATAAATATACGATAACTTAATCAATGTAAATGTTATAATAATGGCCTTATGCAATTAAAATACGATAATACAAGTTTCGAGTATCGTATCACATCAATAATATTTTTGAATTACAACCAAATAATTGAAAATGTTATTCTTTGGTTAAATATCTAATTTTGTTCAAATTTGAACTTAAAATGTCTGTAAATAAAAGTCGTCATATATTTTTATAATATTTTGGTTTCAGAAATAACTACTTATGAGGTGCTGCTTGTACCTATATAAAATTTTCTCAAAAATGCACGATTTATTCAACAAACTCGCTATAATTAGGTATAATATTTTTTTATTTAGATAAATTATTCGGGCTTTGGTTTATAATTTTGACAAAAAATTATACCATACATATAAATTGATTTGCACATTTCTCTAGTGGTAAAAATTACAACAAAAATAATAACTAATAGTACAGCTAAAACATCTAGTAAGTAGTATTGGTACCATCTTAGATTCAATGCTTGAGATTTCAAATGTGGTGCACCTTTGTGCCGAAGAACATACTCAGTCCAGTAAACAACGGATTCTGCTTGCGACATTGGCCGATCTTTGAATATTTTTGAAGTGATTTCAGCGTTTTCCGTGTATCTATTAGAAATTAAATCAGTAAGTACTAAATTTCAAATATGTATACCTCATTTAAATGTTATTTACTTTTTATTGTTGAGGAGTTCTAAGACATTTCTCAAGAAATTATCCTTCGTTACAGACAGGAGGTCCATAGAAATAGCCATTCCAGCGTTGACTAAATTGTCTATATTTCTTTGCTGGTCGCCAAATAAGGGAAATCCAAGAACTGGTACTCCAGCGTCCACGGTTTCGTATATCCCAGATATGCCTCCGTGACTGATGAATAGTTTCACATTCGGGAGCACTTCAGAAAAAAAGATAAATGTGCAACTTCAGTTGATAAATTAACAGTTTTATTTGACTAGGTATATTACTAAGTATATCACGCTGTGGGAGCCACTTTCTAATCATCATATTTTTCGGCATGCCTTCCAGTACGTTTTCATATTTCCATAGCACTCTTTGAGGAATTTGTGCGAACGTTCCCAGTAACGCTTTTTTTATTTGTTCTGGCATCGAAGACATTTTTATGGTCGAACCAAAAGTGAAATAAACAACTCCGTGTGGCGACTGTTCAATGAATTCTAAAATATCCTAAAGTTATAAATTATAGCAATCTGCATTCAAATAGTGGAACTGGGACAAGTTTAACAATATTATACTTCCGGTAACTTCTGAGCTGTCTTCAAATGAATTCCACCAATATCGATAACGTTTGTCGGCGTAGGACTTGCCACATCAGTTATGAAGTGCCTATTTGCGAATATCAAAGACGGTGAAATGGGTTCGATCAAATCATATTGTTTCGGATCAGTGTATTTTAGAATCAGTTCTTTGTATTGTTTTACAATTTTCAAATAAACTATCAAAGATATATTGGTTAATCTCTGAATGAAAGTTTTAGGAATCGCATACATAGAAAATACTTCCGTGACCGTTGACGGATTTGAGACGTGACCGGTGATTGTGCGATCCATAAAGGCATTGGCTGGCAATGGTGTGACATAAATCAAAGGCAAGTTGAGCTTAGTTGCAATGTATGACACACAATCTGAAGCAAAGTATTCAATAATGACAATGTCGTATTCCGTGCGTACTCCCCCCAACACTATTTTCATTTTACTATTCTCATACACTTGATCACACTGAATTCTACTCATCATTACAAAATCACCTATTACTGTAAGTTTTCTACTCATCATCTGTTCTAGATCCTTGTCCATAAATTGCAAAGCCCCTTCTGAAGTTGTATCCACTTCGGTATAGTTTTCACGGTTACCGTCGGCAAACGGTGTGAACACAGTGACGCTGTGTCCGTCATTCACCAACGCCCTTAGTATACCACTCATAAAGTTCCAGTGGCTTTTACCTCCGACTGTCTCCACGGCCAAAATTCTGGCACTCGACGCGGGTTGAATATACGAACCGACAAGAGCCCAAACCAATATTTTCATGATAGATTTCCACATTATATTATGTTTTAATTTTAACGTAAACGATATCAATGCGGCGCGACTCGACGTTACCTTCTTATACAATTAAAGCGAGTGCGTAGTGTAATATTTTAGGATTGCAATACTTAGATATCGTTGTTTTTTTAGTTATGATTATGCGAAGTCTTAGTTTTTAGATTGTTAATATACAACTATTAGGAATGATCATATGAGTTTGTTTGTTTAAGTAGATAGGTTATATATACATATGTATATAGTCATTGTTCATACTAACACTCTAAACTATATAATATGTGCATTGAGTTTCATAATTAAGAATGATATATATGATTCATTGAAGTGTACTTGTAAATTTATAATTTCAGGTGTTTTAGTCGAGGATTTAGGTGGGGTAGATACTTTGATTTGTACATTCAAGTCAAAATGATTTAATTTCTCCTATTAAAATAGTTTAAAAACTTTTAACTTATTAGTACCTACATACGGAATACCTATTGTTTTTAATTGTTTTACATGTATTTCAATATATTTCAATCATGCCTAACTTTAAAAACGTTATTTGTATATGATTACTATAACTAGTATACTTAATCACTTATAGACATGTGCCTATTCAACGGTTATGTGCCTGCTATGATATTATTGATCTCCACTCCATCTCCACTCTACGGATATTAACGAACGTTCCTTAATTCGACTCACCAGTCACTACAACATTATACCGCTATAGGCTCCCACTTGATTCCACTTGCTGTTATGTCCATTTCTGAGACTTGTTAAGTGATAAGGGATAGTACTCAATCTTTAGAAATTTTAAATGTGTATAGGTATTGTTACCAGTTACCACTTGCGACTTGCCATACTATACCTACTTCGATGCCACAGTCATCCTTTTCTTATATTATTAAACAGTCGCTCCCGAAACATGATTGTTTTTTTCTCGTAGAGTTGATATAAACCAATCCCTGATTTGGTCATTAATAATTTCGTTATAGTTATTGCTTGTATAGTTATTTTTAATTTAATTTTGCCCATTTTCTATATTTAATTATTATACAGTTGTCAGCTACTTACATATGACGTATGTATTACTCGTATTACCTAGTATTACATAGACAATTTCAAAAATAAACGAGTAATATTAGTAGTAAGGTACCTTTAAATTGTAATTCATCCATATTTAATTTAATTTTAAATGTTACCTAAGAGAATCGTGAACTTTTGATATTATTGAATACGTTTTGTAATTGTTAATTTTTTTGCCAATTGACTTATTTTACTCATTTGGACGAGAACGTGATATTATTAGTTCAATAGGGTACGAATTTTAACGTTACTAGTGAACTATACTCGTAAGTTGTTTTTGCTAAATACCTGTGCTCAATGTTTACTTTTGCTAGGTCTTAACTAATACGAGACCTAATTTGAATGTTAGGAATGTTCAGTTTGGAAAAATCCTGAATATTGGATAGATTTCCGCTTTATTGGCAGTCTTAACTCTTAAGAACAGTTTTCAGTTATATCTACTTCGGTGTAGTTTCCACGGTTACCGTTGGTAAACGGCGCGGACACAGTGACGTCGTGTCTGTCGTTCACCAACGCCCTCAGTGTCCCACTCATAAAATTCCAGTGGCTTTTACCTCCGACTGTCCCCACGGCCAATATCCTTCCACTCGACGCGGATTGTATGCACGAACCGGCCAATGCCCAAACCACCATCGATACCTAGTATTGGTAAAAACTTTACCTGTTTTATTGTTAATAATTTAACGATTGAAACTATGTTACGTTATAATTCGTAATGCAATTGGTATGTAAACATAGGTACTTATTTCATCTGGGATGACCTCTAGAGACCTTAAACCAACTTTTATGTATGTATTAGAAGCTTTCATAACCTTACAAAATGGAATGCTGATATGTTTTATCCTGAGATTAAAAGGGTTGCTTTTAACTTCAAACTATTTACCTTTATAGATATGACATATTGCTTGTTTTTATATAGTTTTTTAATGTCTAATACTCATTATATTTTGAATAAATCATTTGAGGAGAATGATTTCGGTTTACTTAAGATAATTTTTATTATGCTCTTTTGTACTATTGGTATGTTATATTCTTTTAGTGGTTAGGAAAAAGTATGTCAATTGTCTCAACTTTATTATTAGATTTTTTATGTGAATATGACATTTTAAATTTTAAATGATCAATTAATAATTTTGGATAATTTTGGACAGAAGCATGACGCAGCGTTGCAATTTTTTTAACGTGTAATCAATTCTATTTTATTAGCGCAACTCTCAAATCATAAGTAAAGGTACACTTTGATTTGTCAAAATTTATCTTTAGATTATTATTTGAAAACCAGTTACATTGAGTAATGAAATATCAGATTCATTTTTTTGTTAGATTCTCTTTGCAGTGTGTGATTATGACTGAGTGTATGCCTGGATTTGTTCGTTCGTTTAATGGAAGTCTACCAAATGCAGGTACGCAAATAATGTATAAATTTGTGGACTGCACTGTACCCTACGGGACTCATCTATGTATTTTTCCTACTTCACTTAGGGTATCACCTATTGTGACTTGTTGATCTTCTAAATAAGATTTAAACATTTCATATGCTGATCCAGTGATACCAAATTAATGTATACAATTTAGTAGCGTTGTAAATATGTGATATGCTGCTAAAATCTTAAAATATTCTAATAGTTTTGTAATAGCTTTCAAAATTATCATGTATATCTGCATTCTGTAGTAAGGTTAGCTAGAGCATCTTCAGTACCTAATTTTTTCCTAAAACCGTATTGCAAGTTTGGTAGTAAATTGTTTTCTTCTAAATAATTTATGAGTCTGTTTTCGATTTCTTTTTCAAATATTTTGGAAAATATACTTAATAAACTATCTGGCATAACGCATAAATTATTTAAGATATGTACCTATCAACGTTATTAAGCATGATAAACAATAATACATATTAGTATATTACACAAATTATTAAATATTTCCAAATTAACATACCATTATTATGATCTATTCTGACCACTGTACTACATAAGTAAACGATTTTCTTGGAAAATATAATATGTATTTTTCATACAAATTAACATAAACTATCTATATTAATAATGTAAACCATTTCTAATAACAGCAATTTTGCATTAAAAATTCGTGGTGTAAAGAGGTGACACATAATTTTTATTGAGCACCCACAAATGTTTGAATAAATGATAAATTCAATCATAATTGGAATCTATTATATGACGCACAGGCGTGAAAATATTAATATTTGAATTCTGAATATTTATGTTAGATAAATTGAAATAACAAACTCTTTAGTGATAGAAAACATAATATTGTTGAAATGACGACTGTTTTCAAATCAACTATTGAGCCTATTTTAGCTTTAGGCAAGATTTTTGGTTTAATTAACATTTCTTATATACTCGAACCAGGTGGATTATTAACTTTCAACATTCACTCAACATATTATTATACATTTCTTGAATGCACACGTACGATTGTATTGTTAGCATTCACATATCTAGTTTATACCGAAGAATTATATTATGTCGTAAATTACCGTTTGGTGAAATTTTGGATCGCTATTATTGCAGCAAGATTATCAGAAATATGGATAGTAAAGTAAGAATAAAAAATAATTATACCAAAACCGTTAAAAAATTAAAAACATCACATAGAATAAAATTCCTAAAACCAGACCTCAAACTCGGGGACAGTAAAATTATTATGTATGACAGAACTATAGATAAAGCGAAGGAGTATGCACAGTAGTATAATTTCTATGTACTACGAACATTAAAAGTAAAAATTAATGTTGACTGGTCAGAAGATAGAAGACAGAAAAAAAGATATTACTACCATTTTCGTCGTTTTCAAATAATAAAAAAATAATCATTGAATAACTATTATTTTGTATATTTAAATAGAATTTGATGTATTATATGTAATAGATAGCTATTACTTTTTTGTACATTTAAAAAAAATGTTTGGTAATTTTTTGTAACATTTGTTTTAGATTGATTAATGGCATTATACAGTTCGATGAAAAACTGGCATTACTTTCACCGGCATTTCCGGTTCCCCATCATTCAATAAGTAAAAAGAAGTGGAATATCATATTGGTTTCATTATTTTTATACTTCGTTGCATATGAAGTATATGACATATACTTATGGCCACCAAACTCATTTGATTTAAGCACTTTCCTCATTTTTTTTTTCGGAATGCCATACATGATGGACTATGTAATCATTATAACCGTATTTTTTTATCTCACCAACATCGAGTGTAGATTTCAAACATTAAACAATTTCTGGAAGTGCCTCCCTCGTGGATTAGTATCCATCCCGGGGGGATGGACAGATTCTGAATTGGTTATGTTAATGGAGAGCATTAGATTGTTACACGCCGAACTATCTCTGTTGTTCAAAATATTCAGTCGGAGTTACGGTACACTGCTGTTAGCATTTTTCGTTTGCTGTATTATCGATGTTATATATTTAATTTATTTGATGATCGAGCTTGAAAATGTTATAAGACATGTGCCGTTGCACATGCTCAATATTCAAATCGTTTTGTTTTTGATGTCCGTCATCCTTGCTGCCACATGGATAAATGAAAAGGTACCATTTACATCAAATTAAACCTACGTCAATTTCAATGACTAACCAACGATTTGCAATGCACACATTCTTAACTAATTATTATTAACTTATCATCAGTCCAACACTCACACAATGTTCATATTAAAACGGTTTAAGTAGTTGATAAAAAGGAAAAAATAATTGATCAACTATATTATGATTTCAGAAAATAAAAATTGTATCATATCTACGATTGATTCCAATTTCAAAATTACCCGTTGAAATCAAAATGCAAGTAAGATATATTTTGAACAAATATTTTATTGGTAAACTAAGTTACATATTTAATTGAAAAAAGCAAGTAAATGGATGTCGTTCTTCTGTACATTAGGTGTCTAGAAGGTCGCTGTAATTTATGGTATTTAATTTGAATTTTATGGTATGATATCATTGTATACGAAAAACAATTCTGAGCGGAGATGGTATGTCGGTCTAGGATGTATAATATTGTTATTTCTTATTATTAATACAATAGGCGGTAAGTTGAATTAATACTATTCATAATATTATTCTTAAATTATCGGCGATGCTGGAAAAATATTATATACTTTGTAACATTGGGTTTTTTTCGGAACAAATTACAGCAAAATGACTAAAATCGTTACTCTTTGTGTAAATTAATTATTTCGTCTATCTTTGAATTTAAAATAACTATGAAAAAAGCTGTGTTTATGTTTATAGATATTTTTGGTTACAGAATTGACTACTTACCTAGAACTTCGTTTTAAATTTTCAGTTCTTCGTTATAAAAGTTGTACATTTAAAAAGTTTTTTAAAATCTATTTTCAATTTTTTATTTGAAAAATATTTTCAAAATTTGTACTTTAAATCCTTACAAAAATAAATCGTGCCTGTGTTTTATCGATGTGTTTAAACTGCTATTGTAACGTTATATCAAAAGTCTCATTAAATATTTACGCTTTTTGACAGAACGAATAAAATTGAATTGAAATGTAAAGAAATAAATTAAAATTGAAAATGTCCGTCAACAGCTTACAACGAGTTAAAAATTTAAAATATTTTGAAAATGTTATCAAGTATATAAATTGATGAAATAAACATATGGTGTACATTTTAAGTGTCTACAGTTATTCGTTTTTGATTTACAACATAATAAGCAAATCGCTACTTGAGAAATCTAGTGAATGTCCAATGTCATAAAAATTTCATTTCCAAATGCTCATAAGAATTTAATTTGATTTTCTCGCGGGAGAATTTTTTTTTTGATGAAAGCAGACAAATTTATAAGGAATATTTTATTAAATTTTTAAATCTTAGATATAAAAAGAAAAATGTTAAACTTTCTAATGTAAAATAATTTGCAAATTTTCGTGATTTTTACGTATTTTATTGAAATTTGAAATTCAGACGCTCATAAAAAATGATTGTGCACTTATATTCATTTTTTTTTAATTTTCACTAACAACAACTTATGAGCAAGCTTGTATTATATTTTCAAGTTTTTTGACCGAGCTAACATTTTGTTATAGACTTTAATCAAAAAAAAAACTAATAATAATCAAAAATTGCATATGCCTATAAATAGTTCAACACGAGTTAAAATATTTTGAAAATGTTGTGGTGTGTAGAATATGGTAACACAAACATTTAGTGAAAATTCCTTGTATCTATGGCCATTTACCATTAGAGTTACACTAAAAACCAAAATCAATTTTTTCGAAAACTGGTTTTGCGTAAAAATTCCCGTTTTTTCTTAATTTTTTGTTTGTTTTTAATGTCACTTTTGAAAACTAATGGAAATTTTAAATTTTTACCACCAGAATGCATCAACTAGATTCACTTTATTACCAGAAAAGTTGCTGTTGAAGAAAATCTAATCACTTTTACTGCCCCCAAACCGTGATGACAAACACAAAAAAAAATTCGTATCTTTTTAAAATCAATACATTCATCGCTCCGCTCAGAATCTAAAATATAGGTATATGTTGTAACACTAAACCATTATCAACTGGCATAATTAGTTTTGTTTTATCGTCAATATTAAATCCAAGAGACTGCAAAAAATTTTTAGTCATTGTTATTTTATCACTATATTATATTCAATAATATTTACTTCTATTGTATAGTTTAATATAAATGAATTATTATTATGTATGGTCTTATAAATGTTAATTTATGAATCATGATTAATTATAAATTATGATTTAACTTATGATTACCTACATTAACTAATGGTTAATTTGTAAATAGATCAAAATGTTTCTGTATCAAATATCACTGTTGGAGTCAAATGAAGTTAGTGCTTTTGGGTTTTTCAATATAAATTTGAATTTAGTTGTATCAGTAAGTATTTTTCTAAAATAATACATACTAATTTATTCATGTGTCTTCCATAGTTCAGTCAACTATGCATAATTTGTTTAAAACCGTGTATAGGAAAAGTGGTCATCAATTTGGTTTTTCTGGAATTTAAATCATAAATCTATATATTTATTCTATTATAGATTGTCATGTTACTGATGACTGGATTTTCAACCATTTTGCAGATGAAAAATCACCCCATTATTTTAGCAATGGTTAACAACACAAGAATCTATCACAGCCATTGGGTAAGAAATCTTATAAACCCTAAGAATATATCAAAAACACAAATACAATTTAAGAATTGATACATTTCGTTTAATACTTAATATAATATTATTATTAAGATCATTTCCTTTTCATACATTTTATTTAAACTTCATCTCAGACTTAAGTGGCTCAGAATTGATCCGTTCATTAATTTGTTTAAGTGGTTGATAAAAATTATATATAAATGCTACAATGTATACCTACACTGGCTACACTTCAAGAATTAACATTATTCTATTAGATTTGAAAACTTATTATTTAGTAAAAAAAAAGATATTGTTTTTGAGAATCAATTTGAGCGGTTTAGTAAACCTGTCCCTGCCACACACTATTCGTTTTCTTCTAAACTCTCTTTTTTTAATAAAATCATAATGTATTTTATGGATTATATTTATTATTTGAATACAAATCGTATAATATATTATGTTTAATAGATAATAATAGGTAAATTTATTTTTAGGAAAATGTGTATGCTAGCAACTACTCAAAACGTTTTACATCTGAATAAAAATACAAGTTATTATTCAATAATTAACTGTTATGAATAACATTTTAAGGCTCCTTAGTGTTTCTAATAACATGGAAAGTAGAAAGTAGAAAGTTGTAGATGAATACTCATACTTGTATGGAGCTGACTCTACATCCACCACATAATTTGTAAGAACCCTCCATTTGTCTGAATTATTTTATTATAAATATTTTACTTATACTATCTGTACCAATTTTATTTATTTATTTATTTTTATTATCCTTTATAAAAATCTTAGCTCAACAATTAAAGTATTTTGCAGACCAATTTTATTATTTCCTTTATTTTGCATCTTTTTTATTTTGTTTAATTATACAATAAGTTTGTAACTATTAATATCGCTATTAAACTTACCGTTGATGTGTATGTATAAACAATAATAAAAAACGTATCTTATACTTAAACACATACTTAAAATAATGTACCTACTTAATTATAGATATTGAGTAGTCATTTTTCCTTTTTTCTTATCACAATATCAATATCCTAAATATAGTCTAATTAAAGTTCTTTAAAACATATACTGTGTACATAGCGCTAATCACTAGTGTTGTTACTTTAAAATGTCTGTCATTAAATACTACAATATTATATATTACCGTAGACTCGTAGAGTAGTACATATATTTAAATGATTTTAAAAATTATAAAAATATGTTTATGTTATGATTTTTTACTCATTATTTTAGTTGTAAGAAGCTGTTGTAGTATCTAGAATATAGCAACACTGTATAGCAATATAGAATAATATTTTTTTACCGTATAAGTTACAATGTGAGGGTTTCTTCAACGGTAGTTTATGTACGTTACAAAATTGCCTTATGTGTATTATTGTTGTTGGTACCAATTCGTGTGAGCCTTTGGCGTAAGTTTAGACATTTCATGTGCATTTACAATTAAGTACCTATATACTTGCTGTTGGTAGACAAAGTGAAATTCTTACTTACCAGAGTACCGTGGCCGTGGCCGTGGCGCCCGAGTCAGCGTGTTTCAATCTATAAGTTCCTAACCCTCACATACTGTACCATATCGGAATATTTGCATAATCCATCAGTTGTTCATTATTCAAATCAATTGCCTGTTGCCACCAAGGTGTTTTCTAAATCAAAACATATAATTTGTTATATTTTATTTATCTTATTATTTGAGATAGTTCACGTACATGACATAATTGGTTTAACTTGTGTCTTTTAAGATATTGTTCTTATATTTGTAAATTATGATTATGATTTTCTACAATTACGTAATGACAGTCATACCTAGCATTTGAGTTTTTAGTACAATTAATGTAGTGCAGACGTGTCTTAGAGTTTGGTGTCTCAATTACGTCGCCGAAGTATTATTAAGAAGCATAAAATAAACCAAAAAACCATTAAAGTTGACATCGCCTATGGGGGACATTGAAATTCTATATAGTCCGGAATATGTAGGTATAATTTTACATAACTTATATATAATGTGTATATATATATAGATGGATTATTTATAAAATAAGTATGCTTTATCTATAATCAACTAATATTACGCTTTAATAAAAAAACAATAAAGAAATTACCCCATAAGTATGTTAGTGAGTTGCACACGTGAATAAATTAGCAAGTAGGAATACATTATTAATAATTAGTCAACTAGTTTATTTATACATTTTATGTAATAAATTATGTGAATGAAATAATAATTATATAAAGACAAAGACCAAATAAGATATTATTAATATACACAAAAAGCGTATTGTAAAACAATTTTCAGAACAATTAATAATGTTTGCTTGTTTAATGATAATGTTCTATTCCGATTATGAATTTATTATAACTTGAACTTTTTACGTTGAAAAAATAAATTAATTTACAATCAGCGTTATGCTGAATAAATTAAACTTTCGTTAATATTTTGTAATCAAATAAAAAATTTTTACTTGCCAGAGTATTATACCTTATGGTCCCGGCGCCTTAGTCAGCGTGTTTCGATCTATAAGTTTTTAAGCCTCACATATTTTACCATTTATAGTTATTTGCATAGCCCTTAATTCTTATAATTAAAATATTAAATGTTTAGTTTGTTTTTTATAAAATCATAATGTATTTTATTGATTATGTTTACTATTTAAATACAAATCGTAATGTGTGTATATATATAAATAATAATAAAATACGCATCATTATATTCAATAATATACATAAAATAATGCACCTAGGTACTTAATTTAGATATTGAGTTGTAGTTTTTTCTTTTTAATTATAACAATATCAATGTCCAAAGTAATAGTGCTATATAAATAATTATGGGTCCAATTAAAGTTCTTTAATACATGTGTGCATAGCACTAATCACTATTGTAGTTACTTTATAATGTTTGTCATAAAATATAACAATATTATATACTATAGTAGAGTAGGTAGGTATATCCGTATATTTTAATGAATAAAAATATTTTTATGTTACTATTTTTTGCTCTATATTACAGTCGTAATAATTTGTAGTAGGATAGGTCCCTATACCTACGTTACAAAATTGCCCAACATGTTTTATTTTTGTTTGTAAACGTTCGTGCAAGACTTTGACGAAGGTATAGTTAGTCGTATTATTTAGGTAAAGTAGCATGTAAGTTTTCATATTTTTGATATCCATGTCCAGAAATTTCATAACCCATTCAGAAATATCCACTTCTGTAAAGTGTTTGCTGTTAGACTTGGTAAACGGCGTGAAACTGTGAACACAGTTTTCAACGCCTGTAATATACCACTGATGAAGTTTCAATAGCTTTTACCCCCGACTCTCTCCATCCTTCAATATCCTTCCACCACACGCGGGTTGTAGAAATTGGCAAATACCCAAATCACAATCGATATAGTATTGGTAAAAACGTTCTTGTTTAATTTAAGATCCGAAATTTAACGATTAAAACAACGTTACGTACAGTTCGTCATTGCAATTTGTATGTAAACATAAAAAGTTGATGATTACCACTTCGATATTGTCGTTTTTCGTGTGCCGATTGCGCGAAGAAAATGCTAATGGACTTATTATATATTAAAAATTACTACAGAAATGGTATGTAAGTACCTACTGTTCATTTCTCTATTTTTAACGGAACTCGCCGTTTTTCCCGAATGAACTTTTTTCCGAACGGTATTTTATCCGAAATCCGAAAACCCGAAACTTTTTTTGCCTAACGACTTTTTCCCGTCGATTATTGTTCCCGAAATAAAATTTTGTTATAACTAGGAGCTATGCAAACTAGGTATGTATACAAACAATGTAAGCGAGGGATGGCACAATCGCTTCCAGCTTGTTATTGGAAAACATCACCCGACCTTTACTCCGCTCTCGGTGAGATCCAAAAAGAACTGGCTGATGTAGATATAATGATCGCGGAGCTGAGTCTAGGACGAAAAGTAAGAGCTCTACCAAAAGGAAAATGGCGGGATTATTAAAAGCGAATTATGGCCATTACTGCTGATTTTAATACATACCAGCCGTTAGAATTTTTTAGGGCAATCGCGCATAATATTGCTTTGTAAGTCATAAATATTATAATAATAATTCTGTTTTTTACTTTTAAATGTATTTTTTTGTGTATTACAATTTATCGATTTAAAAAAATTAATGATAATACTACACAATTTATTACGTTATTATAAACGTTATCAATTACATTTATTTTTTATAATATGCATTATAATTTAACGATTTTAAAATCGATTCGGGTAAAAGGTGTTCGGTAAAAAAGATTTCGGGTCCATGGACTTTTAGAAAAAATGCCATTCGGGAAAAAGTTCATTCGGTAATTTCGATTCGGGAAACAGTAGTTCGGGAATAAAAGTTTCGGGTTTTTGGATTTCGGATAAAATACCGTTCAGGAAAAAGTTCATTCAGGAATTTCGATTCGGGAAAAATACCTGTAACCATTTTTAACTGAATAGATATACCAAAATTAAAACACATTAATAAAAGAAATTAAATACAATATTTTAATCCATTTTGTCCACTGTACATAAGTAAACGATTTTCTTGGAAACAAAAATACGTATTTTTCACAATAAATTAATACAAACTACCTATATCAATAATGTAAACCATTACTAATAACAGCAATTTTGCTGTAACAATTGGTGTTGGGTAGTGTAAAAAGGTGACACATAATTGTTATTGAACACGCCTCAATGCTTGAATAAATGATAAATTCAATCAAAATAGATATCCATTAAACTGCGCACATGCGTGAAAATATTAATATTTGAATTCTGAATAATTATGTTAGAGAAATTGAAATAATGAACTCGATTGATTTCAGTGATAGAAAACCTAATAATATTGAAATGACGACTGTTTTCAAATCAACCATTGTGCCTGTTTTGGCTTTAGGCAAGATTTTCGGTTTAATGAACTTCTCTTATGTATTTGAACCAGGTGGATTATTAACTTTCAGTATACACTCAACCTATTATTATACATTCCTTGAATTTGCGCGTATGATTGTATTGTTAGCATTCACATATCTAGTTCATGCCGGAAAGTTGTATTATATCGTAAATTACCGTTTGGTGAAATTTTGGATGGCTATAATTGTGGCAAGAATATCAGAAATATGGACAATAAAGTAAGAATAAAAAATAATTATACCAAAACCGTTAAAAAATTAAAAACATCACATAGGATAAAATTCCTAAAATCAACCCTAAAACTAGGAGACAGTAAAAATAGTGTGTGACACAACTATAGGTAGAGCGAAAGAATACTTTTTAAGTATAAAAATGAATCATTAAACAGCATTATTAAATAATTATTATTTTCCATATTTAAATAATAAATATTGTTATTGTAATAGATAGCTATTATTGTTGGTAAACTCAAAAGAAATATTTGGTAATTTTTGTATAATATTTTTTTTTAGATTGATTAATGGCATTATGCAGTTTGATAAAAAACTGGCATTACTTTCACCAGTATTTCCGGTTCTCCATCATTCAATAAGCAAAAATAAGTGGAATATCACATTGGCTAATGGCTTCATTATTTTTATACTTCGTTGCATATGAAGTATATGACATATACTTATGGCCACCGAAATCATTTAATTTCAGCTATTTTCTCTTCTTATTTTTTGGAATGCCATACAAGTTGGACTATATAGTTATGATAACTGTTTTATTTTATCTTACTAACATTGGATGTAGATTTCAAACATTAAACGATTTTTGGATGTGCCTTCCTCGTGGATTAGTATCCATCCCGGGGGGATGGACAGATTCTGAATTGGTTATGTTAATGGAGAGCATTAGATTGTTACACGCCGAACTATCTCAGTTGTTCAAAATATTTAGTCGGAGTTACGGTACACTGCTGTTAGTATTTTTCGTTTGCTGTATTATCGATGTCATGTATTTAATTTATTTGATGATCGAGCTCGAAAATGTTATAAGACATGTGCCGTTGCACATGCTCAATATTCAAATCGTTTTGTTTTTGATGTCCGTCATCCTTGCTGCCACATGGATAAATGAAAAGGTACCATTTACATCAAATTTCACCTACGTCAATTTTAATTACTTAACAATGATTTGAAATGCACCTATTAATCTAATTATTATTAACTTAACATCAGCCCAACACTCACACAATTTTCATATTGAAATAATTTACGAGGTATAACGCAAAAAAAAATTTTCAACCTCATTATGATTTCAGAAAATGAAAATAGTATCATATTTACGATTGATTCCGATTTCAAAATTACCTGTTGAAGTAAAAATACAAGTATGATATATTTTGAACAACTTTTTCGTTAGTGCGGCACATGTTTTATTTAAAAAAATTAGTTGTATTGTTGTACACTAAATCATTATCACTAGGCGTAAATAGTTATGTTTTATCTGTACCATAAAATGTAAGAGTGTAAAATACTTTTTGCCATTGTTATTGTATTATTATGTAATTTTCGATGATATTTATTTATTCATTATTATTAAATCATAATTTTTAATTACGTATATATTATTTATTAACTATGGTTAATTTATGAATAGATCAAAATGTTTCTGTATCAAATATCATTGATGGAATCAGATGAAATTAATGCTTTTGGGTTTTTCAATATAAATTTGAATTTAGTTGTATCAGTAAGTATTTTTTCGAATATAATACATACTATTTTCGATCGCCATCTATTATATATGCATGATTTGCTTAAAACTGAATAGTATGTAGGAATAGTAATCATCAATTTAGTTTTTCAGTAATTTAAATGATCTATTTGTATATTTATTTTATGATAGATTGTCATGTTACTGATGACTGGATTTTCAACCCTTCTGCAGATGAAAAATCACCCCATTATTTTAGCAATGGTTAATAACACACAAACCTATCACAGAAATTGGGTAAGAAATGGTATAACCTCTAAGAATATTTTAAGTACACAAAAAATATTAAAGAGTTGATAAATTTCGTTTAATAGTATAATATTTTTTCTTAAATTATTCCCTTTTTATAAATTATATTTACACTCAACTCAGACCTCAGTGGTCCGGTATTTATCTATTTTTTTCTTGAATGTTTGTTAAAAGTTATATACAAATGATACAAAATATACCTACACGTATTGTACATAATTACTCAACAAGAATTAATATTCACAATTGGATTTTGAAAAATGTTATTTATAAAAAAAAAACTATTATTTTTAAGAATCAATCTAAACAATTGAGTAAACTCCCCCTACTCGAATTGAGTAAATAGCAACTACTGTAAATTGTCATTAATGTTTACAACAAATAAAAATTCCAAGCATGTTTAATTGGCCAAACACTAATTTTTTCTTTGCACAATTTAAATTATATTGTATTCAACAACTTTTCGACTTCTGTTTGGGATAGATTACTTCTAATTACTTCAAATAAATGTTCTTACAATACTTAAAATATTCACTAGTTAGAAATGAATTATTATAATTAATAAATTAAATGTTTAGTTAGTATTTTAAAAAAACATAATGTATTTTATGTATTATGTTTACTATTTAAATACAAATCGTATAGAATATTATGTTTAATAGATAGTATGTTAATTTATTTTTAGGAAAATGTGTATGCTAGCAACTATTCACAGCGTTTTACATCTGGATAAAAATACAAGTTTTTATTCAATAATTAACTGTTATTTTTAAGGCTCCTTAGTGTTTCTAATAAAATAGAAAGTAGAAAGTAGTAGATAAATACTCATACTTGTAAGCAGCAGGCTCTACATCCACCCCACAATTTGTAAGAACCCTCCATTTGTCTGAGTTATTTTATTATATATTTTTTACTTATACTATCTGTACCAATTTTATTATTTCCTTTATTTTGCACCTTTTTTATTTTGTTTAATTATACAATAAGTTTGTAATTATTTATATCGCTATTAAACTTACTGCAGTTGATGTGTATGTATAAGCAATAATAAAAAACGTATCTTATACTTAAACACATACTTAAAATAATGTACCTACTTAATTATAGATATTGAGTAGTCATTTTTCCTTTTTTCTTATCGCAATACCAATATCCTAAATATAGTTTAATTAAAGTTCTTTAAAACATATACTGTGTACATAGCGCTAATCACTAGTGTAGTTACTTTAAAATGTCTGTCATTAAATACTACAATATTATATATTACCGTAGACTCGTAGAGTAGTACATATATTTAAATGATTTTAAAAATTATAAAAATATGTTTATGTTATGATTTTTTACTCATTATTTTAGTTGTAAGAAGCTGTTGTAGTATCTAGAATATCGCAACACTGTATAGCAATATAGAATAATATTTTTTTTCCGTATAAGTTACAATGTGTGGGTTTCTTCAACGGTAGTTTATCTACGTTACAAAATTGCCTTATGTGTATTATTGTTGTTGGTACCAATTCGTGTGAGCCTTTGGCGTAAGTTTAGACATTTCATGTGCATTAACAATCAAGTACCTATATACTTGCTGTTGGTAGACAAAGTGAAATTCTTACTTACCAGAGTACCGTGGCCGTGGCCGTGGCGCCCGAGTCAGCGTGTTTCGATCTATAAGTTCCTAACCCTCACATTCTGTACCATATCGGAATATTTGCATATTCCTTCAGTTGTTCATTATTCCAATCAATTGCCTGTTGCCACCATGGTGTTTTCTAAATCAATACATGTAATTTGTTATATTTTATTTATCTTATTATTTGAGATAGTTCACGTACATGACATAATTGGTTTAACTTGTTACTTTTAAGATATTGTTCTTATATTTGTAAATTATGATTATGATTTTCTACAATTACGTAAATACGTAATGACAGTCATACCTAGCATTTGAGTTTTTAGTACAATTTATGTAGTGCAGAATAAGTGTCTTAGAGTTTGGTGTCTCAATTACGTCGCCAAAGTATTATTAAGAAGCATAAAATAAACCAAAAAACCATTAAAGTTGGCATCGCCTGTGGGGGACATTGAAATTCTATATAGTCCGGAATATGTAGGTATAATTTTACATAACTTATATATAATGTGTATATATATATATATATATAGATGGATTATTTATAAAATAATTATACTTTATCTATAATCAACTAATATTACGCTTTAATAAAAAAAACAATAAAGAAATTACCCCATAAGTATGTAAGTTAGTTGCACATGTCAATTAACTAGCAAGTAGGAATACATTATTAATAATTAGTCAACTAGTTTATTTATACATTTTATGTAATAAATTATGTGAATGAAATAATTATATAAAGACAAAGATCAAATAAGATATTATTAATAGACATGAAAAGTGTTATAAAATTTTCAGGACAGTTAATAGTGTTTGTTTAGGTAACAATAATGTTCTACTCTGGTTATGAATTTATTATAACCTCTAATACAGCTGTTTACGTTGAAAAAATAAATTAATATGCAATCAGCGTTATGCTGAATCAATTTAACTGTCGTTAATAATATTTTGTAATCAAATAGAGTCATTTTTCCCTTTCACGATTACCATACTAAAATGTCTGCAGGTTTAAATAATAAATATTTTTTCTTCAGTACTTAGTAGACAACATACCTACTAAAATGACGACTGATTATATAGCAACTCTCAAGCCTGTTTTCATTTTAGGCAAGATTTTTGGTTTAATTAATATATCTTATACATTTGAAACTACAGGATTAATAATCCTAACAAATTCATCATATTATTCGTGTCTTGAATTAACTCGGACGCTTTTGTTAGTAATATCTACCATTATCGTTTATAATGCGAAAGGGATTTATTACATACAACGATTCCGCTTAGTTAAATTTTGGATTGTCATTATAGCTTCAAGATTATCTCAAATATGGATAATAAAGTAAGAGAACACTTCAAAATTTACATTGAAAATTATAACCATTATGAATTTAACTCACTTGAGTGGCTTAAAAACATTAAATTGTGAAAGTGTACACATTTCATTGGTTATTATTAATTATTTATACGGTGAAAGCTCCACTAACAGAACCTCTAAATAAAGGACCTTTGTTTGGGTACCAATTAAAAACTTTTTACAACTTGAACCGTCTAATTAGTTGACAACATTTCAACGACCAAGAGTGTCAAGTTTTTACAAGTTTTACCTTAATATTCTAGATTTTCTAAAACCTACAATTTTTTTAGTTGACCAACAAAAAAAAATGTAAGCATACATAATTTTTTGTATGTTATCATTATCCAAATGTCCTGAAAAAAATGTATTATAACATCATAATGGAACATCATACATTTTGTTACTCAGATTTTTCCATCGCTGTTTGGTTCTTTGGTTCAAGGTAGGAGAAACTTTTTCTTCGGTAATTTTCTTTCTCAAAATCATAAAATCAGAACAAAACAAAAACTGAAACACACGGCACATTGATTAAAAAAATGCTACGTTGTATCAATGTAAACTTCTCGACAATCAACCTACGCTTGAAAATTAAAATACCTAATTAAATTGTATTCTTTTTCTAGGTTGTCTAATGATCTCGTACATTACGATCGAAAAGTCGCATTGCTTTCGGGGGCATTCATGGTTAAACATCGTCAATTAGATAAAAAGAGTTGTAATGTCATTTTATTTGCTTTATTCATTTACTGGGTTGCATTTACGGCCATGCAATCATACATTTGGAGTCCGATGCATATCGACTATAATATTGTCTTTATAAACATATTCAATGAACCGTATATTGTGGATTATGTGGTTATGATTTTCACGTGTTTTCATCTCATCAACATAGAAAATAGATTTCAGACATTAAATGATTTCTGGCAGTGTCTCCCTGCCGGGTTGGTTCCCATTCGCGAAGAATGGGCACATTCGGAAGTAACAATGTTAGTGGAAAGCATCAGATTATTGCATGCAGACCTAAGTACAATATTACAATTATTTAATAATAGTTACGGTCCATTGCTTTTAGGCTTCTTTGTATGCAACTTCGTAGATTTTACGTACATCATTTATTTAATGATTTATCATGAGTTCGCTTTATCAAACATAAGTTTAATTCAAAACATTATACAATATATTCCATTACACATAGTTCACCTACAAATCATAGTTTTTTTTATGTCCATAATGGTTGCTGCATCTCGGATAACTGATAAGGTATTATTTTTTTAATAAATCACTACCAAATTATTGTTTTCATGGATAGTACATATTTAAATATTTTTAATATTATCATAATTCAATTATTGATTAATTAAAAACAATTTTGTATTCATTATACACATATAAAGCGTATCTAAACTGTATGTGTGTTTTAATTGAAATTTCAGAAGTATAAAATAATATCATTTTTAAGATTGATCCGGATTTCAAAGTTACCAGTTGACCTAAAAAATCAAGTAAAACATTTTCTTACTACCTACCCTTTATTATTTTTTTTACAAGAACTAACATAGTGCTCATTGTCACAAATAATTTTTTTGATTTAAGTTCAAAATTTTTTTATTGCTTTATATTTACAAACTAAGTAAATGATTAAATTGTTAGCATCATACCATTTTTATAATTGAGAGTTGTATTATTATTGTATTTAATTAATATAGGTTAAAATGTTTATGAACCAAGCACCAGCATTAGAAACCAATGATATACATACATGGGGATTTTTTACTATCAATTTGAATCTAGTCATATCAGTAAGTATTTTAAATGATATGCAGTATTAGTGATGTTAGTTTATTCACATGCACTATACATTTTAATAATTAAATAATTGTGAATAAATGTATTCAAATAGTGACCATCTTATAAGTATTTTATCTTCTGTATTAAAAATATTTGAAAACAAAAAATTCTACACACAAATATCCATTGCACACTACCAATTTTGTTTTAAAACAACACATCCAACCACTTAGAAAATTCTCCACCTAACTAAGTGTATAAATTATGTTTTTGGAAAAAAAACTTCGTACTTGACTTTGGTCGGCGGCACTCCTACGAAGAAAAAAAATTCTTATATAAAAAAACGAAAAGAAAAAATGCTCTTACTCGTATAATCGCTCGTACTTGTAACAGTATTTTCAGGTATAGTACAAGACACAAGCATTCACTCGCGTTTGTCATGACTGCTCGTTATATGTTAACTAAAATCACTCTCAACGCCAAGACTTCAATTATTAATAATCTATCTAAAGGCGCGTAGCTAGAAATTTCTAAGGGGGGGTGTTATTCAAAATTAATTGAAAAAATTATACACACAAAATTGATAACTTTACGTAGGTATATTTAAATTTTTCACATATATATTATTATGATTAATAAAAAAAAAAAATTATTTTTAATTAAACTAATTTAATGCGTCTATTTTTTAAAGCTAAAGTATCAATTATTTCGTCAGTGGTTACGACTAAATCCCGATGAATATTCATAACTGCTAAGCCGTTCAACCGATTTTCACCAGTCGTGTTCCTCAAATATGTTTTTAAACGCCGTAATGAGGAAAAAGATCTTTCACTGCTTGCAGTGGTTACTGGTAAAGTAATCAATATTTTTAAAAGTTGATGAACCGTAGGAAATATTTCTTCATTGCAATTAATGAATGCTTCCGTAGCATTTTTAGGGTTTTTGTTTTTCACCTGATGATGCCATATTGTAAACTCGCCAATTGCAGATACTTCCTGTTCAAATTGACCAATAAATAAACCAATATCTATTTGTGTAGGAGTAATAACTGTTTGAAGAGCAGATGCTGATGGTTCAATCTAATAAAATTTAAATTTAAAATTTACACAAAAAATATTAATACATGCAAGTATTTGATTCATAATATTTACTAATTTGTTATTTTCATTGTGCTGTTCAGACATGGATTGTGAATTGTGATTGAATGGAGTTAATGCAGATTCAGCTAATGATACTACCACTTCCGTTTCATTCTTATTAAAATTAAGTCATTTAATTGGTATAACACATAATAGAATCATTTTCAACTTTTACAAATTTAAACCACTTACTAATTTGTCATTTTCGCCGAGATTATCAGTTTGTACTTTAGGTGTTTTTGTGTAGTATGATAAAATAGTGCTTTTTCTTTTAATACCTTTCTTTGTAGCCTCCATAGTTAATAATTATTTAAAATTTAAAAAATGTTGAACTTATTGGCTATTGCAAACATATAGCACTTATGAACATAATAACATATTTTATTAAATATTAATTAGTTTTATTTGTTATCACAGAACTGATAAGTGAAATAACATTCGGATAGCTGATAGATCATAGATATCTATGTTTACGATAGTTCATCATGATCATGATAATCAAATAATCAATAATTGAAGTTGTAAACGTTTTCTTACACGCTGCATGAAAAGATATATTATATTATTAAATCGTGCATGAAACGAGTAATCGATAAAACGTCACAGAACGGTCTAAAATAGTACCTAATTAATGCCGGATCGCCCGGATCCCGGCTTTAGTGCTTTACATTATTGTTATCGTAATATAAACTAATATACTTCATTTTTATAAATAAGTGTAAATCACGATTTACGATTCGTGCTTATACTTATGATTATTCTATTCTGCGTAATGATGCATCTTTATCTTGATAAAAAAATATTAAGTATACCACGGCTGAGGGGGGGTGTTATTACACCTGTAACACCCCCCTGGCTACGCGCCTGGCACTCAATCTAAACCAATCTTCTCCTCTCGTTGTTTTTATTTTTGTTCATGAATTAAAAAAAAACTCTTTCATTCAATTACTATAAAAAATAAAATATTTTTTTGTTCAACAGATCCTTGTGTTAATTATAACAGGGGTATCAACATTGATTCAAATGAGAGAACATTCCATCATTTTAGATATGGTCAATAACACTAATTCTCTACACGACAATTGGGTAAGAATACTTGTAAAATCTAGTAAAAAGATAAAAACTCCATAACTTTCACTTCAAGTATTTTTAAATTTTTTTCTTTAAAAATAATTAACTGCTAAACAATAAATGTCTAAATAATATGGAAATATTTTTTAAAAATTTTTAAAACTTTATTTATTTTAAATTTTTTCTGTGGATACTTTATTAAAAATTATTAAGCCACTCTAAAAGTAGTTAACAAATACCGTTAAAATATTTTTATTTAGTTTTATTTAGTTTATTACTCTGAATAGTCTGAATAGGATTGTTTTATTATAATTACATTAATAGTTTCTGAAAGTGTAATGAAAAACTACTAAAATTATTAAATTATATTCTACTAAAGTTGAATACTACGTACAATGTTAAGAACATTGGCAATTAGTGGCTAAAATCTTTTGTCAATTTAAATGAATTAGAAATACTTTCAGATGTATTGTACTTATTGTATATGGTATTATACAGTAAAATGCTGAAATAATTATAAATAAATATTAAAAATAATAATCAATAAAACGGTTAATTCAGTTACAACAAACCAAGGTATACCTCAAAATTCAAGTGAAGTTTTCTATTTCCTACCATGGCTATCACCACTGTGAACTTTTTCCTTTATTTTTAAAGTATCATAATATATTGTGATAAATTATATTTGTTAAACATTTCAGCAATACAATATTATTTTCTTGACACGGCGACATAAATAGGCAAACTAGGTACAGCACTGTCGTCGGTTTTTTTTGTATTCCCGAAGACTTGTACCAATCAGTAATCATAACTCCCAAGTCCCAAGTCCAGTTCATACTATTCTTGCAGCACCTCCATACGTCTCAAATGACTCGCTCAAGTTGCACTAACCTTCTCAAAGTCAATTAAGTATCTAAGGTTAGTAGCTAAGGTCCTAAAAATATTTTCATGTCACACCCAAAATATATAAATAGAATAATAAGTGAAAATAAACAAATAAGGAAAAAAAATTTTTATTTTTATTTAATTGATTTTTCCCTAGTATCCAGTGAAACGCATTGGGATACAATTTACCGGTACCACAGTGACACCGTCAAAACAAATATAATTTAACTTCCACCAGTGCCCTTTTTTAATTTTTATAATATTTCGAATGCATGCATGCGACTATCGTGTTCGTGTAGATTATTATTAACTATTGCGTATATGCATAAATATTAAATAATAATAATAAAGTAGTATTATAGTACAACAGCATATATAATTAATTTGTTTTTTTTTATATACAAGCACGTAAAAAAACAAATTTTAATTTGGTTGTATTGAATATTATAATATAAGTGGTGGGTCTGGAAAGTCAGTAAAGTGATACCCAGCTGGAGTAAATAAACTATAATGTCATAACTATATTTTAAAATATTATTTTTATTGAATTGCTTTCAGTAAAATCACTAAAATATTCAGTTCCGAATCCAGCATTCAGCTATACATACTACTGGAGGTTCATTGCAATTGTCAGTTTTAAATGGTATCGATAACATTTGAAGAAACAATGCAATCATGAACAAAGCGTTAAGTTTCTTGAAGATTTAAGTTTTACAATAATTAGTTAAAGTAATGAATAAATTGTGTAATTTATTATTGTCACTCATTACTTATTAGAGATATCGTAGATTAAGAATTTATAATTATATTACAACTTTTTGGCTTGTAAACCAATAGGTACACCTATATTTCACTTTTTTTATTGAGACGTCCTATCTTCTAATGACCATAATATAGGAGCTATTAATATTTTTTTTTATTCTGAAGTCATGATTGTTTTATTATGATTTGTACAGTATTAGTGCGCATTTAACATTTTAATAAAGTATTGAACTGTTGAAGTTACTGAACAACTTCAAAAAATAATATAACAATTGTGCATACTGTAATGTAAAATATAAAGTTGTGCCTATTTTTTTTTTTAATTAAAAAATAAACATTGGCAACACAGCTGATTGGTTTCATTATCCTTTTTATGTTATGAATAAGTATCATCAATATAAGATAACGATTTGTCTTTTTTAGTTTAGTTTGTTTAAAACAATTAATTAAGTCTTAGTTTTGTTCGTGATTGGGTTCAAGTACTGTGTCAAGGTTTTAAGATATATTGTGATCAATCTGGTGTGGATTGTATTGTATTTTATTTACACTCTTTTTCTTTATTTTATCTCCCTACAAAATATATAAAGGAAACTGAAACATTTCCCACATTATATTTGTTAGGGTCGCTTCGGGATAATATACAATGAGACTACAAAGTCGATAATTTTTAAGGATTAAACATGGTAAATTTTACTAATTTGTAATATTCGTTGATATTATATTCATTCAATAGTATACGCATGAGTAATATGCATGTATTTTTTATATTTATAAAATAACTCAAATAACTAAATAATACTTAATGAGGCTTAGATATCAGAGTTAAAAGTTCATCACATTTTCATAAAATAAATAATCATTTACATATTTTCCTGATTTAGGCGAATTTTGTAAACATTTTGACTTGAAACGACTACAAATAACAATATATATTTCCATTGTTTTTATTTGATATAAGTCATAAAAATAACTTATATCGGATCTCGTAACATTTCCAATCATTTTTACTCACTAAAAAAAATGTTATCGTGTGTGCAAAAAAAAACCAAACATTTTAAATGTCTTTAAATAGCTCAAAAAGAGGCAATGAGTTTCCATCATGTCTTGAAAATGTCGATATATGTTTGGTAAAGATCCAGAGACTTGACAGTTAGGTATATTAAATAACAATAAAAAAAAAATTGATTTATCAAAAACTAGTTTTGCGTAAATTGTTCTTTTTTCAAATTTATTTTTAAAAGTCTGAGCTTCTAAAATTCCTCCCTCCCCCTTTCGATGAATACAAACTTAATCCAATTTGCTATGTGAAACCATTTTCAAAGCTAAAGAATATAAAAAATATTATATAAATATAATAAATATAAAAATTACAAACGCAACATATTATTTACGTAGTTTATTAACTCACTCGAGTAGTGGAACGTGTAAGGTTCAGACTTCTTTTCAGAATTTAATAATATTCAATACACAAATATTTGCATTGTCCCTAAAACACGATTACAATGCTGCCCACTATACCATTGTACGTTATTGGTTTGAATAAATAATAATATTATTCAATTTCAATATCATAACAGTGTCCAGTGGTGTACCTATTTCTCTTTGAATTTTTGTGAGCTCGTGTTAATGAATCGATAAATCAATTTCTCTCTAGTTGTGGACTAACATATACTGAAATGACGTCTGTTTTTAAATCAACTCTGATGCCTATTTTAGTCGTATGCAAGGTTTTTGGATTAATTAACACATCGTACACGTTTGAGTCTACTGGATTATTGGTCCAAAATAGTGCCAACACAACGCAATATGCACTGCTTGAAATAACCCGCACGTGCGTGTTGATAATGTTTACATACATTGTTTACTGTAAAGGATTTTATTACATAGTATATTTCCGTTTGATTAAATTCTGGGTTGTCATTATCGCATCGAGAGTATCAGAAATATGGTTGATAAAGTAAGTCCACCGACATATTATTTAAAATGTTTTTAAAATTCCTTAGACATTAATTATGAGTTATGACCAAATTATGTCGGCGTTAAGCATCATTCATATTATAGCGATGAATTTCTAAGTTATCAATAATCTTATAGGCAATATACATTTATCTGTTTTTATTTAGAAAATTGGTGAAATATGAAGTATTGTTTAAATACTTTTATTTATAACATTGTTTCAGTTTGATAATTTGAATGAGTGTTATTGCTCGAAAAAAATTTGCTTAACCTATCCTATAAATTATTTGTACGTTATTTCATTTAAGGTATATGCGAAAATAAAATATTATTTATTTTACAGATTATTTATATTTAATCATAAAATTATTATAAAACTCATCGTATAATAACTATAATTTATAGGTACTATTGGTTTATTGTATATTTAAGAGATTAGAGTTAAAAAGTGTTATGTTTACACCATAGAATATAGATTTAATAGACTATCAAGAATACATTTGTTTTAATAAATTAACTAGATATTTTCCATTTTGACTCCCAGCAGAGATAATTTGTAATACAAAATTAAATTGACTATATTATTATGCAATTTTTTTTTAATTGCGTCAAGTTTTTTTACTTAAAAACCCGTAGCCTGACCACCAAAACCAACCTTGCGATATATTATATGCTTGGCTTATTTTGTTTAATTTTAGAAAAACGATGATTTTATCAAAATGATTTAATTTGTTTGGTGTTCAATAATTTCAATTCGATTGCTAAATATTCATTCATATAGTTTGCATTATTTG